CTCAACCCTCAGCCCTAAACCCTAAACCCTAAACCCTAAACCCTAAACCCTACACGGTTTAGGGTTTAGGGTAAACCTCAAACCAGTTTTGTGGTGTGGGGTTTAAGTACCCTATCTCGGCCATCCAGGAGAAGCCCTCCGCCGATGCCCCGATGGACGCCGAGGCAAGCAAAAAACCCCGGGTGTAGGCTTTAGGGTTTCGGGGGTTTAGAGTTTAGGGTTTTGGGGTTCAGGGTTTAGGGGTTTAGGGGTTAGACCCTAAGCTTGGTTACTTGTTTTTCCTTCCTAACATGGGCAAGTAAAGCGCTGCACCGGGTTGACACCCTCGAATCCCCGTAAGAGGGGGGGTCGAAATAAGAGCAATACTGTTGCTCGTTAGGGTCTAGGGATTAAAGTTTTAGGGTTTAAGGGTTGAGGGTTGAGGGGTATTGAGGTTTCAGGGTGAAGGGGCAAGAGACAGTATACTGCTTTTATGGATTTCTAGGTGTTTTTTCTCGGGTGCGAGTGCAGGGGTGTTGCAAGGGCACTATTGGAAGAGCCCCAGCAAATTCTAAGAAAGGGACTTGGCAGGGTTTAGGGTCTGCATATTGGTCTACAGCGATTCTGACTAGCTGGTGTCGATGGGATGTTGCTGAAGCAATCATCGGGCTGCAACTGAGGCAACTATGCTGATAATTACTTATAGCCACAAAAAGGTATTTATAGCCTTACTAAGTCCCATGAACCTCCAAGTACTCCTAAAGAACCCTCTCTCGTAGGGTTTGGGACCCTAAACCCTAACTCTAAACGCGGAATACTTAAATCGGTCTCATAACTGCTTTTGCACAGTCCTAAACCCTAAACCCTAAACCCTAAACCCTAAACCCTAATGAACCTCCATGTGGGGTCCAGGTGTTCGGGTTTGTCTTTTTCGCAGGGTCCCACAATAAAGAATGCTGGGAGGTTGATGTGACTCAGTAGCTTAGAGGGCCCCTAAAGGGGATCTACGGGATCTACACGGGCTCCTTACTCGGTTTCTATAACAGCACTATAAAGGTACTTGGAGGTTCATTGGGCTTAGAAAGTACACTTGTAAGTACCTTGTTTTGGGTTATAAGTTAAGTAATTATAAGTATGACTACCTACTACGTCCCATGAACCTTTATGTAGACAGATGGGTTAAGTTGCCTTGTGTAGGGGTAGCTATTTAGAGGCTGGGGTAGAGGGCCCTGTTCGCTGTCCAAAATATCAAAGCTCCCAACTCCACCTGCCCACGCCCCCGGAGCCTCTAGCCTAAATGAAGCTTCCTCATAAAGCCCTGATGCCCCCATACAGCGTTTCTGCCAAACCCTTATACAGCTTAACATTACCCTAAGGTTTGAAACACGCTTGCAAACCCACTCCACCCCGTAGCCGTAGACCCCGAATCCTAAAACCTAAACCCTAAACCCTAAATTCAGCCCTAAACTCGAAACCCCAAACCCCGAAACACTAAAGCCTAAAGCCAACCCCAGACAAAAATCCTGAACCCCAAACCTGACTGCCATCTCCTGCCGAGGACTCTCCGTTGCCCTTAGACTTGAACCCTAAAACCCTAAGCCTAAACCCAACACCAAACACTAAAACCCTAAATCCTGAACCCTAAAGCCTGAAAGCCGTCTCATCCTTCCTGCCGAGGACTCTCCGTTGCCCTTCGACTTGAACGCTGCCGCAGAGGAGGGCGAGGAACAAGCAGAGACCACCGAGGCTGGTTAAGTTCTCATGGGGTGTAGGGTGTAGGGTGTAGGGTTTAGGGTTTAGGGTTTAGAGTTTTAGGGTTTAGGGGTATCTGAGAAGCAACAGTTGCCTCACCAGCAACAGCATCCTCAGACCCATCATATAGAAGCCTGAATAATTATCAGTCTTGTTCATAGGGGCCCCTTATTCCAGAGATACTGTCAAGGGGCCCAAAACCCCATTCAAATTATTCAGGCCCCTACATCGTTTAAAGGATCATGGGACTTAGTAAGTAGGGTTATAAGTAAGATAACTAAACTTATGTTTACTTCTAACCCCCAATTATTAAGGCACTTATAACCTTACTTACTAAGTCCCATGATCCTCCAAGTAAAGCATGCACCCGAAGCCTCAGTAGACGCGACCTTCGAAGTTTTTGGCAGGCAGCTGCCGCCATCGCTCTCATCCCGGTCCCGAAGAAGGAGGCTTGTACGTATGCTAAATACTTGGAGGTTCAAAGGACTTAGTAACTAGGCTTAGAAATAAAGTAACTGTACCTACAAGTACTTACAACTCAGCTAATGTACCACAAACCTTGCTTGCCAAGTCCATGAACCTTGGGGTGAGGTAGGTATGGTATGTAGGCATCTGTATGGGTATGTATAAAGTGTATGGTACAGGTGTGGCATACTGCCTTCTTGAGTGTGTTTTCACCAGTATCATAGGGTGTGTAGTACGTCGCTACTTCTTCTTTTTTGCCAGTGCTGAGCATAAGGGTTGTGCTCGCATGTTTCCGCCTGACGCGCCTCTCAGGCTGTAAAGGGTAAACCCCAAAAAGTTGGAAACCGGATTAAGGACAGTTAGTGCTGCGATTCACTATACGTTACTCTGAAGGATTGAGGCTGTCGGGTTTCCCACTTTTGGGCTTCTACTGTATGGGGGTTCAGGGTGTGCCTGTGACTTCTTTGCTGTAGATAGGGTTCCTTTCTAGGGTTCCTGTCGGGAGAGGGTTGAAAATTTGCAGTTCAAAGTGTCTGTGACCTCAAACCCTACACAACATTAAGTTATGACAGGTACGGTTGATGGACCAAATCATGCATGACCCTATATACCTAAACTATGGGATTTATGGTACTATACTATATTTGGGTCATGCAGAATTTTGTCCATCAACAGTATGACTCCTGAATTACACGGCAGAAGCCCAAGAGCGCTTGGTTTTGGTATCCCCAGGTCGGGTTTTGTTTCTCCCCAAACCCTAAACCCTAAACCCTAAACCCTAAACCCTCAAACCTAAACCCAAAACCCTAAACCCTAAACCCTCAAACCTAAACCCTAAACCTTCTTGTTTCTTGGTTTAACTTCAAAGTCCTGAGCTCAGGGTCTCGGGCAGGCGGCCCTTAGGGCCATGACTCCAGGTTTCGGCGTCAGGGTGTAGGGTTTATAGGGTTTATAGGGTTTATAGGGTTTATAGGGTTTATAGGGTTTAGGGTTTATGGGGTTTATAGGGTTTATAGGGTTTAGGGGTCAGGGTTTCGGGTTTAGGGTTTAAGGCCGCGTAGGCTTGGGGGTCCAGGGAATCCTAGAACCGACGGAGGGAAGGTTTAGGGTTTAGGGTTCAGGCGTGTTTAGTTTTCCGTTGGTAAGGGTTCTATGAGGGTTTAGGGGTGTAGACCGAAAACTTACCGCTTTGAAGTTTAGACCCCAGAATGAAGGATTCATAACATCGTATTTCGTAGTGTTTGGGGGGCGGTCATCATGCGGATTCCATTTGAGTGCACGCTGTCGCATCAACTGAAACCGTCGACTTCATCATGATGACGACAATCAGACGACTGTTTTGCGTCATTTAGGGTTTAAAGTCTAGGGTTTACACGTAGGATATGTTCAAATCTTACAATCAGGATCCTTATGTGGCTGTACAAACAGGTTCTTTTCTTCTTGAGACTCTCTTTTAGTTGCGGTTTAGGGTTTACCCTAAACCCTAAACCCTAAACCCTATTGGGTTCAATATGTTTTTTTTTATTGGGCCTCTCTGACACCCTGCATGCTAGGCCAGACCTCCGTCCATCGTCCAGAGTCGGCATGCTCCATGTTGCCGGTAAAAGTAACGGAGCCTCAGTGATCAGTAGTTAGGGTTTGGGGTTTTAGGGTTTAGGGTTTGATATCTTTCATAGCCCAGCAAGTAGCAGTATTTTGATTCTTTATAGCTCCGGTGATAAGCCATGCCCCAAAGCCTCGTACTCACTGGGCCCCAAACCCTAAACCCTAAACCCTAAACCCTAAACCCAAACCTTAAACCCCAAACCCGAGACCCTAAACCCCAAACCCTAAACCCTGAACCCTAAACCCACCAAACACCATACCCAAATGCCTCAACGGCACGTCGCGCCAGAGGCCGCTGCAGTCGTCCATATCGCGGAAATGTGCCTTTGCTGTCTCTGTAGGTTAGGGTTTAGGGTTTAG